TGAAGGGCTGAAAACTGGGTCATGAAGACATCTGGAAGAGGGCAAAGAAGAATTCTCTCTAAAAATTAAAACCCAAAAAACAGCACCTTTTCCAAGCCAGCAACTCCGCCGCCAATTATTAAAATTAACGTGTTTTCTAAGCTGCTACAACAGCACAAGGCTTCGGTTTCATGTTCCCAAGCCGGCTCTCTCGGCTCGCAGCTCATCTCAGCTGGTTTTATGTTGCTGGAGCAAACGCAGCGTGTCATTGAGCTCACCCCAAACCCTCATTGCCAGCTTCTCGCGGACCAAATCCTGCACGGCTGCGAAGATTACGGATGGAGAGCTATTTTGGGAGCAGGATTAATACATTTTTTTTCCCCCTGATAGTCATATTTTGTCCCACTCCCATAACTGACTGCATGCCAAACAGCTTTGTCCTCTAAAGGCCTGAAATCCACCGAATTACGAGGATAAACGACAGTTTTCTAAGTCAGTCCAACGGTTCTGGGTCCAGGGGTACAGAAAGCAGAAACTGGGTCCCATCATGGAAAACGTTCAATTCTCCTCTGCTAAACCGGTCTTGATGAAACTCCCGACACTCCAACTTCTACCACGACTTGACAAACGTCGAGGTTGCTGGAGGAACACAAATCCAGCAACCAGACAAATGGTTTATTTAGTCCAAAACTGTCGTTTTTAAGGAAATGTCATTGTTTCAGATGAAACCACAGAATCCCATAACACAAAAAATACACTGAAAGAGCTTCTGTCTCAGCCCGCTCCGTTAACGATGGGGCAAACACCACAAACACACATGGAGGTGTTCTGATCCGTACAGCAGCCCCTGTACCGGTCACAAAGCGGGTATGGAGCTTGGAGTAACTCTACATTTGCTTTACACACAGAGCTTAAACTCCTCCCGGGCGGGCTGTATAGGTTCTCAAAGTAGCAACCCGAGGAGCCCGTGCTCTGGCCTCACCAGATTTGATGTTGCCGTCATCCCGACAGATCCCGTTCCAGCGGGTGTACAGCGACGAGGTGTGGATATTGTCGCTGACGTGCTTCACTTCCTCTTGCTTTTGTCGAATCTTTTCCCAGTTTCGTACCAGAAACACGTGGTGTTTGAGCACAAAGTTCCTACAGGAAAGAGAAATGCATTCAAGAATCACCTTCTTAGTGTAAAATTCGTCCCTTAATGCGGGGAAGAAGGCGGATATTCAGAGATACGCTTCTGCATCTTCTGCCCTGAGTGGAGATGAATTCCACCCCAGCTCGTTAAAGGAGAACTAAGAACGTAGAGACGCTTCACGATGCCCCATCTTGGCTCAACAACTGAGCACAGAGTCCAGCTGGAGGCCTGTGCCCAGTGCTGTTCCCCAGGGAGCAGGGCTGGGGCCAGTTTTGTTCAATATCTTCATCAACGACCTGGACGAGGGGACAGAGAGCACCCGCATCACGTCTGCTGATGGTACAAAACTGGGAGGGGTGGCTGGTACACCAGCAGGCTGTGCTGCCACCCAGCGAGAGCTGGCCAGGCTGGAGCGCTGGGCAAAGGGAA